CCAAATTTGAGAAAAACACACCAGAGGCAATTTCACACTATCGAGCTTGAAATTGTAGCAACTGGAGCCGAACCCATGTAATACAGCACACATGAGTTCACTAGAAATAAAAGTCTTTGTCCGAAGCTAGAACTAGAAATATGGCTTTCATATTCATTTTGAGTAAAATGAAAGAGATTCATTGACAAAAATTTCAACGATTACATGCACATTTCTGAACAAAATAAAAATTGTTTTTCTACCAACTTTTTAAATGGAAAAGAATGACAATTCTCCAACCAGATCTATATGGCTGGCACAATGGACTAAAGTTTCTAGTCTGCTCTGCTCCCTTGGATGCTGGAAAAATAGACTCCTAGGAACCCCAAGAGTTAGACTTGTTCTCAGGGGCCTCTCTACTAATACCCACAATATGCAACTATGTAGGGCACCATGAAATTTGGGGGATCAAATTGCCCCAAATTCCATGCTGCCCCAGGCAGCTGTGTGCTGTGTATTGATGCCAGCTCTGGTAGCCAGCTCCATCCCCTCCCCCATCTTGCTCACACACAGGCTGCTCCCAGCCACCGCTCACCAGCTGTTTCCCCTTCTGCTAGAAGGTGCCGCCTGTGCCTTCTGCCAGCTTCCCTGTCATCAGGTCAGCCTCCCTGTCCTGCTCCTCAAAGCTTTTGCCCCATGGACTTGCAGCCCTTGAGAAACCCTGACTTCCCCCCACGGAAGTTTGTGTGCAGGTGCTCAGGCTGCAAAGGGCACCAGAAATGGCAAGGGTGACCCTGCTTGTACTCCCCAGCTATGGGGTGAGGGGAGTTTCAGCCCTCCATGCTCAGGGCTCTCTAGCCTGGGGCCTTAAAACCTGGATCAACAAAATAAATTCTCTTAAATAAACCCTATATCACTTCCTCCCTCCTCATTAAGAGCTTCTCCCTGCCCTTTCATAGGCAAGACTGAAACAGGGTGAAACTGACTCAACAGGATTCCTCTCATGAGACTCACATGTCCTGAGTACCCTTTTTACATTTAATATCCCAGCTACAGACATTCCCTTAGCTTAGTATCTCAGCTACAGTCATTAATTTAGATTTGTATGTAAATTTGGGTAAATGCAGCACTATCCTGGGGGTTTTGTTTACAATGATCCCATACCTGTTGGGCTTTGGCACACACACACACAAAAGGACCAAATGCACGTGGATTTGCACTTTAGGGCAGCACACTTGCAAAATATTTTTTATCAGAAACACTACATGTCCTTAACAGAGACTAGCCATTATGTTTTCTTTACACACTTACACCTCTAACCACTGTACAAACATAGTAGCAGATACTTACTACACAGAAAAGCTTATCGATAAGACAGGCACAGGGTGGAGGAAAAGAATATAACATACTAGCAGAGACATTAAAACGGGCAAACATCATATTAGTGCTGCAATTTTGGGTGGAGGGGGGTTTAATGAGGAGAGGACTAATTGAACAGAAAGAGGAGAGAGGCTTGAGGAGCACATAGCAGGAGAGAAAAGGTTTCTAATGTCTCCAAATACATCTGGGCCTAGAAACAAAAATTAGTTTTGTTTACCTTACTGAGCAGAAGTGCATTTTAGTATTTTGAAGGGTTAGTGAAGACATTGCAAAGTGCATGCAGTAAGAATTAGAACCATCTTTGTACAATGTTAATGACAAAAATGGAAACACAAAGTATAGGAATATATTGCCAAGCCAAGGAAAATACTTATTTGAGTATGTACAAGTACATTCTTCCCCATTCACAAACTGAATCTCTCTACAGAGATGTATGAATTAGATTATTAGCAAGTACTTTACATCCCTAAATGGGTGGCGATATCACAGAACACCAGTTTCAGATCCCATTTTGAAATATGGAAAATGCCAACATACTAAATATTGTAATTACTAAAATGAAACAAAGCGGAACAAGAAAAAAATTAAACATGAATCACATCCAGGATTCTAAGCTGCATGAAGCCACGGCAGAAAGAGGCTTATCTAACACCAGAGACAGAATGTCAAATTGGTTAGAAGTAATGAGGGGAACTCAGATACCGGGTGACTTTCATTACATACAGGCTAGAAAGAAATCCACTAATCACAATACACCCAGCCTCATCCTGCAGAGATTCCATAACTGCTGAGAAGACGTTGGCACTGTTTTGGGTGAGGAACTGCTTATAAAATAGTATGAATAAGTCCCACACAGTCCCAGAGACACAGGTAAACATTATATAGCCTTTTTCAGACAGATAGGTTAACTATAGCTTGAGACATGAAAGGGCAATTCAGAAATACAGTACTGGTTTATATTGCTCCTATGCTCCAATGGCTATGGCACGCTTATTATCAAAGCTGCACATAAATGTCATGCATTTTGTGTGTGTGGACTCTGACAATCTGGCATTGCACTCCTCTAATATATATGTGTCCAAAAACACTAAGCAAACTTCTGAGAAGGTGACTTTGCTCCTAAATCTGCAAGTGATACTAAAAAAGAATATCCGACTAGCTAGTGAGCATGTATAATCTGAAGAGGTATACACTGTAGAAATACACTGTGGCTGCGTCTAGACTGGCAAGTTTTTCTGCAAAAGAAGGTGCTTTTGCCGAAAAACTTGCCAGCTGTCTACACTGGCCGCTTGAATTTCCGCAAGAACACTGACGATCTCCTGTAAGATTGTCAGTGTTCTTGCGGAAATGCTATGCTGCTCCCGTTCGGGCAAAAGCCTTCTTGCGCAAATGCTTTTGCACAAGAGGGCCAGTGTAGACAGCTCAGATTTGTTTTCCGCAAAAAAAGCCCCGATCACAAAAATGGCAATCGGGGCTTTTTTTGCACAAAACCGCATCTAGATTGGCACGGACGCTTTTACGCAAAATGTGCTTTTGCGGAAAAGCCTCCGTGCCAATCTAGACGCTCTTTTCCACAAATGCTTTTAACGGAAAAACTTTTCCGTTAAAAGCATTTGTGGAAAATCATGCCAGTCTAGACGTAGCCTGTATGTAACACCCAACTCCTCAGTTGCTAGCAGTAGGATTCTATATATTGCCCATATGATGTTAGGATTGCTAATTTTATCCTCACTTCAGCAAGTGAAATGGACTGGGACTCACAACACAACAAAAGTTCAAGCAGTCCAGATATCCTTCCTTTGCTAACCGCTCTACCTCCACTACCCCTTAGTCATTCACATTTTGAAATTCCAACTTTTCCACCAGAGGACAAATTCCTAGCATTGAAACATTATTCATGTAAAGAAAGCTGGTAACAACTCCTATAGTTAATATTGCCTGACACTTCGCAGAATAAACCCTTATTCTCATTTGCTTATAAAATTTTGCTGACCTTTAAACTGAAGTTTTCCATTAAGGTTCACTGAGTCAAGCTACATTTAAAAAGTTTCCATGCAAAATGGTTCCACTTTTTCTGAGAAAAAGGTTAGGAAAAAGAGGCAGCTTTGCCACTGTTGGAAAACTATCCCAACTATTTATTTACAGAGTGCTAGTGTCTCAACAGATCCAATTTTAATACCTGCCATCTAGTCTTAACATTTACAGGTTTGGGGTTGGGTTTTTTTGTTTGTTTGGTTGGTTTTTTTTAGAAATGCCCTTTCTGGTAAGATAAAAACCTATTCTTGGAAAATGATAATACCCCTCAAGTGAGCATATTAGTAAGTGAAAGGGAAAAAAGATCTTTCCTTTTAATAATCCTGGCTGCTTACAAGCTATGTGAAAGGGTTAAAGCAGCTCCAGTAAGCAAAGCAAAACAAAGATGCTCAGCTGAGACAAACCCAACAACAAACTGAATCCATCTTTTTTTTAGTATTAATTAAGTAAACCCTCTGGTTTAAACATAATTTTTTTTTTAAAATGTGCAAAGTTAGAAAGTGGAGGTCCAGCAATTATCCCTCCTAATATTGCCAGTCATTTCTAATACATTTTGAAGGTTAATCATACTGTGGAGTTGGCCTTTTCACATGAATAACAATCATGGAAGGCCATGACCTTTAATATATAGTATGGTATATATTATAATTTCAAACAGACTTTTCTTGAGGCACATCTAATGCTGCTCATGGGTCTTTGACAGCATTCAGTAGATATTTATAGTTTTAGAAATAGAAATGTGATCCTGAAGCACATCTTTCTTGGTGCTGTAATGAAGTAATATAACCTGTTCAAGGAAGGAGAAGGGGTGAGAGCAGCATGGAAGAACTCTGATTCCTAATCTATTAATTATAGGACATGCCCCCAGAGATAAGAGGTATCAATATTACAGGGCATGTGGACATTGTAACATACCAAAAGGGTAGAACACAAATTTTTATTTACTTTGTTACATGCAGAATGTCATGACACGCACATTTCGTGGCAGACTGTGTGCCGAGCACCCAAATACCCCCTAAAATATGATGCAATAATATTTTCAGGAAAAGTCTAAATTAAGGAATTCTAAATGTGTTAAAGCCTCCACCTGTTGAAGAATGCCATCCTCCCAGAAGATGGGTTTTGAGCCTAGGAGAAAGATCCAGCACTGAGAGGTTTGTAAGACAAATAAAATGTGTATTTCAAGAAAATATTAAATCAGCTTGTAACAAAGATTGAAGTCCGGAAAGCTACCAAACTTTGCAGCTTCTCAGATTTAATCTTGTAGCTGTTTATGTGCCGTTTGGGATCAAATACATATACTGGATGCAGCACTTGGCATGTCTATCAATGCAGCCCTCAGAGGGTGTTAGCCAAGGCCAGTTCTGTTTTTGGAAATGGGGAAGAGAGCACTCATCCTCTCCAAAGATTTGTCTACAGCTGTCATTCTTTATTGGGGGGAGGAGGCGAGGTTTGGGGAGAGAGCCAAGTGGCATCAGGCAACACACATTTTTTAGATGATTAGTACTTCCAACAGCTGGCTACTCCTGTTCATAGTCAATAGGCTGTCAGAATTTATTTTGGGCAGCTCTTTTGACCTAAATCTGATTCAAACATGTCAATCCATAGCTCAGTTCTCCACACAAGCTACTTCCAAAAACTTCACAGCCATTTGAAATCTGTCTTCAGGTAAGCCATCAAAAGAGACCAGGACAATAAATAATGGTCCTATATGTTTTACCTATTATTTGGGAGTAGGGGGAAAATGTATAATTTTTCCAGTGTCAGGCAGCTAAGGGCACTATTCTGATTTTTTGCAGATGGATTTCTTCCCCCGATTCACAACACTGTGCATGATAGGTTTGTGCCTAAACATCTGACTAGCTCAATTGTAATTTACCTCATTTAGAGTCCAACACTACTGCCTCCAAGGAAATAGGAAATCTGGCTTAGCCTTCCTTCAGTCCCTCCCCCTCAAGGGAATGCTAATCTTTTCCCTGTGACCATACATGGATTTTGGTTGGTTTTCATGAAATCAGATAGACTCCACTAAATACAGATCTCTGGTGAGATCTTGGATTAGGGTTAAATAATTGTTAAAATACAAGAAATGTATTCATTTCAGATTGCTCTTGATTGACAACTGGATCCCTCAGATACACAAAGATGTCATTATTTTTTAAGAAACAAAATACTTTCCTATTTTGCCAGCCAGAGATACAAAACAGGCAGGTGATGCCTAACTGTAGTGGGGTATAAACTGCTCAACTGTCCCTTTTTTCTTTTTAAACTATTATACTCTTACACAGCTTTTGGTCTTCATGGACCAAGCAGAAATGGAAAAATCTTATTTACTTAAAACCTAATGGCTTCATTTCAGCTCTTCATGACTGAAACTGGTGCATTTCTAATGGCTAGGCAAGATACATGCAAAGCCTCTAGACCAAGGCTTCCATGCACACACAGTAGAAAATCACAGAGTGGTTTGACTGAATAGAGCTCTGAAAAGTTGAAGCCTTTAGAAGATGTTAGGGAAACATAACAATGAAGTCCTCAGTGGCACTGACAGTTGTTTCAGAACAAACAAGAACAATTAACTATTGTACCAGAACAGACAATATTTAAGAATGGGGCAGATCTGGTTTGATTTGATTTGACAGGGCTCCTTTCAACATGAGCATTTGTGTTTCTCTAAACATAAGAAATTGAGAATGGCAAAGTGTTCTCTTAGCCATTGAATTCAGGTTTTCTGAAATATTTGGGTCTTTGTTTTCATATTGCTTCCTTGCTGAATAAGCATGTGACCGGGGATGCAGTAAATACAAGAGCTGCAGTCTTGGAACTACTGGCCGGGGTTAATAAAGATTCTCAGATCAAATATAACAGCAGTGAAGAACAGCCAGATTTTAGCTTTTAATTAGCCAGGTAAGAATTGTGCCTGCTATCCCCTCTCCTCGCAGCATGGGAGGGAGGGTTCTATGGGTGAGATGAGGACTGTTGGGAACTGGGAGGTTGCAGGGCAGAGCTTTGCTCCACTCCACCAGTCCTCAGATGTTATACTCCCTTAAGAAATATGCCAATAGAGCCAGTCATAGGAATGCTCTACTGGACCTGGCACAGGCCATCTCACAAAGTCTGGAAGTTGTAGCTAGCTTTGATGGTCCCTCTACTCTCCTATACTGAACAGGCCTGTCAATGATAATTTATGACAGTTTTTTATGCCAAAAACTGGCATCAATTGGCATTGGCATTAACAGAGATGATAGAGAAAAGCATGACATTATTGGTTCAGGAAGCATTTGTCCTAGGGCAAGTAGGCTGTTCTGCCTTTTTGACTGGACGCTTCCTCCAACTTTACCTGTTTTCTTCTCCTGTGCACTGAACACAGAGTAACCTATGGGTTATATTGCCTATGAACTACATACATAATTCACAGCTATTGTTTTCCTTCCCTTCCCCTCAGTCAAATAATTCTCCTCCTGCCTCCTCCTCTTTGTTCTGCTGATAGTCTAGCTGCAAAGATAAAGGTTAAGTGAACAAATGAACTGAGGGCCCAAGGGTAATTAAGAGTCGCATAAGGCCTCATGGGCAGGCCCTGAAAGTGGCCAACATAGAAAGGGTATGGTATCATACAGATAGGGTTACCAGGTAGGTTGAGAAAAAATACCGGACACACTTGATCGGGGGGCTGGCCGGGAGGGGGAATAGTCTAGCTGCAAAGATAAAGGTTAAGTGAACAAATGAACTGAGGGCCCAAGGGTAATTAAGAGTCGCATAAGGCCTCATGGGCAGGCCCTGAAAGTGGCCAACATAGAAAGGGTATGGTATCATACAGATAGGGTTACCAGGTAGGTTGAGAAAAAATACCGGACACACTTGATCGGGGGGCTGGCCGGGAGGGGGAATGGGGGCAGCGGGGTGGTTGGGAGGGGATTGGGGGCAGTTGGGCTGGTCAAGATGGGTCGGAGAAAGCAGGGCAGGACTGACCCGGGTACGTGCAGATCCCGAGGCGCTGCCAGTCCCGCACATGGTCCAGAGAAGTGCGAGTGAGTCCGGCTGCAGCTCCACCACACACTCAGGAGCAGGGACAGGGTTTCTCCTCCTCCCCAAGGCATCAGACGCAGCCAGGGCTCCCAGCGCCAATCACGCCCCACCTCCCAGCCACTCCCCCAGCCCCTGCCAGGCTTCCGTCCAGCGATCAGACAGAAATCTAGGAAATACCGGACATGGCACACGTCTGGTATTTTCTGGATTTTTTTACCAGACAGAGGCCCCCAAAACCAGACTGTCTGGTAGAATACCGGACACCGGGCAACCCTAATGGATGATATTTTGCCAGCTTTACCAACCCCCCATCCATCCCCATTGATTAGCTAATCCAGAGAATTTGTCTTCCTTGTTCATTTGTCACAAAGGGATTTTCCTGGGTATCACAACATTAACAATGGTGATTGGTATGTTGTTTTGTCAAGGCATCACATGGTGTGATCTTTGTGAGTGTGTTTTCTGGAAATGGGGTTAAGTGTTGTTATCATTTATAATCGGTGGCTAACTGCTGGAGTTTAAGAAGAATTCCTTTATTCACACACAAAATTCTGTGAAACATACACTTATTTGAAAGTCTCAGAGGGGTAGCCATGTTATAGCCTGTAACTTTAAAAACAACAAGCTGCCCTGCGGTACCTTAAAGACTAACAAAAATATATAGTATCATGAGTTTTGCTGGGCAAAACCTACTTCTTCAGATGAGCTAGAGGCTGTGTCTAGACTACATGCCTCTGTCGGCAGAGGCATGTAGATTAGACAGATCAGCAAAGGCAAATGAAGCTGCGATTTAAATGATCGCGGCTTCATTTACATTTACATGGCTGCCGCGCTGAGCCAACAAACAGCTGATCAGCTGTTTGTCGGCTCACCGCTAGTCTGGACGTTCCCCCTGTCGACATCAAAGCTCTTTGTCGGCAGCCCCGTTATTCCTCGTGGAATGAGGAGTACAGCTAGTTCGGATTAGGAAGCCTAATCCGAACTAGCTACTCCATGCCACGTGTAGCCGCGCGGCACGGGGTTCGAACTGCCGGCATTTAAAAATGGCAGCGCCCGGCTTATGCAAATGAAGCCCGGGAAATTCAAATCCCGGGCTTCATTTGCAAATGCGGTATGCCTACATTACCCCGCTAATTCGAACTAGCGGGGTAGTGTAGACATACCCTTAGGGAGAGCAAGCAGCAAGACACTGTCTGCCTTCCCTCGGTGTGATTTGCTTTGGAGTCAGAGGTCAGTGAAATGGGCAGTGTGGGGGGTTTGTCTTAAAAACAAATGTGCAACAGTAGGAACTTGCTTTGGGGGTTTTTTTCCTTAAATATTTTGACACCGTTTCAATGTTAGGAATAATCTTCCGTGTTATTGAGACTGTTTGAAAATCAAGCAAGAGCCTCATGAGCTCCAGCTGGCATTTCAGAACAGCGTCACCAGGAACACTGGGATTTTGTCTCGCTTTTAGCGTTCGCTCTTCCTCTGTAGAACGTCAAGTCCTCCTTGTTCTTTGGGCTAGTCCTAACATGTAGATGGATGAAGCTCTGAATGGAATTCAGGGCTCTTGGGGCAGCACAACATACCCATGACCAAGATCGAAAGGCTGCCAGGCCCCTTTTTGTTTGTTGCTAAGGGAACATAGGAAGGAGTGCTATAATTATACCCAGGAAGAGGAGACAGCCAGCCAGAGAGAGCGCGCAAGCGAGCGAACATGTTGTATGTGGAACTCATGACAGCGCCCTCCTGATTAAATATGTTATTTTTATTTTATTTGCTGCTTTATAAATCACTCGTGGAAAGGCATCTGGGAACTGTGCATGCCTTCAGATCACTGAAATCAATTGGAGACATTCTCCTCTTCCGACAAATTTAAAAAATATTGTCAAAAATAAAGTCTCTCACGCTCCCAAAGGTAACCACAGGTAGCAACAGATACAAAGAGATGAACAGTAAGTCTATGAAATATGGAATTATTTGGGGACAAATTGTGGTCTGGCTTGCACAGAGGGGCAGGCAGTAAGGGGACAAAAGGCAGAGAATAGAGAGCAATCTTTGCAGGGTTGCACAAATGGAGAAGGGGGGGTGTAGGCAAGGCTTTGCCTTCTCTTCTCCTTCCTTCCCACTCCCATTTGCCTGCTAGTGTGGCTACACCAACCAGAACACCGGCATGACAGAGGAATTACATTGTGCCCATATAGACCTACTGCTCTACAGACCTCAAAGCAAGGGGGAACCCAGAAAACAGATTGTGACTAAGTTGCTGTCTGCATTCCAGTCTCTGACTAAGAAAAGCTACAATTGACCTCCAAATAACAACAGTAGAGCCGTGCTAATCCACGGATATCTGCCTTACCTGCAGATATTCACATCCATGGATGTGGGTGTGGATATCCGCAGCTAATTTTTGTGAATATGGATGTGGCTTCAAATACTAATTTTGTATCAAGAAGCCTTCAAATTTGAGGCACTCTGCTTTATATCTATGGGTGGATGCGGATATCCACAGCTCATTTTTGCAGACACAGATGCAGATGCAGATGCAGATACACATTTTGTATCAGCGCAGGGCTCTAAAGCACAGCTTGCACTTTGTGGTATAGCTAGTGGGTTTTTCAATGTACTGTAATATTAGTGTTAATCATTTAAGTACTAGTTTC